AGAGAGATCTCCCATCCACCGGTTCACTCCCCAAATGGCTGCAACAACCAGGACTGGGCCAGGCCCAAGCCAGGAGCTGCATCTGGGTCTCTCACATGGGCGCAGGAGCCCAAGCACTTGGGCCATCTTCCACTGCTTTCTCAGGCGCATTACAGGGAGCTGGATCGGAAGTGGACCAGCCAGGACTCGAACAGGCACCCACATGGGATGCCGGCATTGCAGGCCACAACCTTTTTTTTTTTTTTTTTTTTGACAGGCAGAGTAGACAGTGAGAAAGAGAAACAGAGAGACAGAGAAAGATCTTCCATTTCCGTTGGTTCACCCCCCAATGGCTGCTGCGGACTAGTACCCAGGGTGCCAGTGTCGCAGGCGGAGGATTAGCCTATTGAGCCAGCCGCGGCGCCGGCCAGGCCACAACGCCGGCCAGGCCACAACTTTTTAACCGGGTGAGCCACAGCGTTGGCACTTAAATAATTTTTTAAAAAAAGCTTAATGTTAATATCCATCACACTCAATAACGGAAAATTTCAACACTGTTTAAGAGGACAGGAGCCGGCCCAGCAGGTTCAGACAGGAAGGGATGTGTACGGAGCGCTTACTCAGGGTCAGGCGCCATGCTGGGCCCTTTACCATAAATCTTTACAACCACTTTCTGGGGGAGAAGGTGACACAGAGACCTTGCGCAATTCACCTGCAGTCACACGGTACAAGGATCTGAACCCTTGAAGTCAGACGTCAGCCCCCGCCCCCACTCCCTACCTCACAGCCTTATATCCCCTCTGGCGGAGCCCAGCCAGGCTGCCAGGTGGTGTTGTTGATTCAAAACAATCATACTCCGCGGTTTCGTCTCTTAGCGGCAAAGAGGCAGAGTGCTCCCTGCCGCTGGCTCATTCCCCAAAGGCCTGGGAAGACAGGGCTGTGCTAAAAGAAGCCCAGTTTGAAGGAGACAGGAAGTAGCGCTGGGGGGAGGGTGTGCCAAGGTCTTGGGTTGGGGGATGTTTCATGAAGACAGAGTCCCGGATGGGTGGCAGTGACGGTTGCACAACAGCTTGGATGTGCTTGATGCTACTTAAGAATGGGCAAAGCAGGAAATTTCATGCTGCATGCATATTACCACAAAAGAAAAACTGTAATGGGGGTGGGGGGTGTTGTGGTGCTACAGGGTAAGCCACTGCTAGCGACATCCGCATCCCACGAGGGAGCGCCGGTCCAGTCCCAGCTGCTTTACTTCCGATCCAGCTCCCTGCTAACACTCCTGGGAGAGCAGTGGATGACGGGGCCCCAGGCACCCATGTGGGAGACGTTGAGAGAGCTCCTGGCTCCTGGCTTTGGCCCATCCCAGCCCTGGCTGTTGAGGCCATTTGGGGAGCGAACCAGCAGATGGAAGATCTCTTTCTCTCTCTGTCTCCCTCTCTCTGCCTTTCGAATAAAGAAGTGCACAAATGTTTTGTAATGGATTTTTGGGAAGAGCGTTGCAGCCAGCCGTGATGGGGAGCGTCGGGTGCTGGGAAAAACGGGAGGTAGGCTGCCCCAAGAGGAGTCTGGGTGGAGGGGGAAGAGGCAGGGCGCGGTTTCCGCTCGGAGGGGTCAGAGGAGCCAGCCAGAGGGCCAGGCACTGAAATCCGGAAGCCGGAGTTCAAGGCGTCTGGGGCAGGAGCCGGACAGAGCCTGGTGTGGCCGCTTGAGGGCGCTCGGGAGCCATGGGCGATATGAGTGAGAGAGGACAGCGCCCAGTTCCCGGGGGAGGCTGCAGGCGCCGGGGAGAAGTGGGCCAAGGCCATGGCCTCTGCCGGTCGGGGGAGGTGGCAGCTGGGGCGGGGCCGGCTGGGCACACAGAGCAGCTCTGTTCTCTGACGCCGGTGAAACTTCTGGGTTCATGCATTTTTCAGCCAAAAAGGCCTTGAGTTTCAGATTCCAGGGTGCTGGGCCCAGGCATTCAGTTCTGTTTCCTGCCTGCGAACATCTCAGGGCCCCAAGAACTGGGTCTTTTAAAGGTTGGGGGCAGCCGGCGCCGTGGCTCACTAGGCTAATCCTCCACCTTGCGGCGCCGGCACACCGGGTTCTAGTCCCGGTCGGGGTGCTGGATTCTGTCCCAGTTGCCCCTCTTCCAGGCCAGCTCTCTGCTGTGGCCAGGGAGTGCAGTGGAGGATGGCCCAAGTGCCTGGGCCCTGCACCCCATGGGAGACCAGGAGAAGCACCTGGCTCCTGCCATCGGATCAGCGCAGTGTGCCGGCCGTGGAGGCCATTGGAGGGTGAACCAACGGCAAAGGAAGACCTTTCTCTCTGTCTCTCTCTCTCACTGTCCACTCTGCCCTGACAAAAGAAAAAACAGAAAGGTTGGGGGCCTAGGAGGTGAGGGCCTGTCCCCACCCGCATTGCCTTGGGGCACTTTTTTTTTTTAATTATTTATTTGAAAGGCGGAGAGTCAGAGACAGACAGAGAGATCCTCCCTCTGCTGGTTCTCTCCCCCAAATGGCCACAACAGCCAGGGCTGGGCCAAGCTGAAGCCAGGAGCCAGGAGCTCCATCCGGGTCTCCCACGTGGGTGGCAGGGGCCCAGAGACTCAAGCCATCACCTGCTGGTTTCCCAGGCGCATCAGCCGGAAGCTGAGCCGGGATTGCCACCCAGGCCCGCTGCTGTGGGATGCAGGGGGTCGCAGGCCGCATCTTCATGCTGTCCCAACACCCGCGCAGGAGTGAGGAATTCAATTGGCTGCCTCTCACCTGACTCTGTCAGCGCCCCCCCCCCCAGCTGATAAAGGTCTGGGGCTGAGTTTGGGGACAGGGAGATGTGGCTGGGCAGCAGAGGGTCACCCCTGGGGGCCTGCAGGCCCTCCTCCTCCATCAGTGGAGCCAGGGGAGTTTGGGCCAAGCTGAGATTTGCCCCCTCCCCAAACGGCCCTTCAGTTGAAACCACAGGAAGCCGTGGGGCTAAGCCATTGGTGTCATGGTGGCTGGAGTACCAGAGCGTGCCTGGAGCCGAGGCCCTGTGCCAGGCAGTCTGAGCAGGGAGCACATGGCGGTTGTACCCATTAAACAGAAAGAGAGACTGAGGCACAGGAAGTCCAGTCACCAGCCCATGCCTCGCAGCCAATGTACGGTGCAGTAAGGACTCGAAGATGCCTGCGTCCTGCACCGGAGGGCCTGCGTTTCAGTCCCATCTCCCGCCCCTGACCCCAGCTCCCAGCACATGCGCACCCCAGGAGGCAGCAGGTGACAGCGGCTCAAGTACCTGAGCCCCTGCTGTCCACATGGGAGACCTGGAGTGAGTTCTTAGCTTCTAACTCTGCCCCAGTCTAGTTCTGGTGCATGAGGGCCTGTGGGGAGAGGACCTGTGGATGGGAGTGTGCGCTCTCTCTCTCTCTCTCTCTCTTTTTTTTTTTTTTTGATAGGCATAGTTAGACAGTGAGAGAGAGACAGAGAGAAAGGTCTTCCTTCCATTGGTTCACCCCCCAAATGGCTGCTACGGCCGGCGCTGCGCCTACCTGAAGCCAGGAGCCAAGAGCTCCATCCGGGTCTCCCACATGGGCGGCAGGAACCCAAGCGCTTGGGCCATCTTCCGCTGCCTTCCCAAGGGCATTAGCAGGGAGCTGGGTTGGAAGTGGAGCAGCCGGGGACTTGAACTGGAGCTCATCCAGGAAGCTGGCGTCACAGTGGGTGGCTCAAACCACTGCACCGCAATGCCAGCCCCTCTCTCTCCGTCTGCACCTCTTGAACACATCAATTAATGACAACTCAGATTGACTCGTGATCGCTGGTGTACGGGGCCCCTGTGACCCTCCCAGGGCGCCTGGGATGTGCAAGATCAGAGTCCTCGGTGTTCGCTTTTGGTTTTCCGTTGCACCTCTCATCTCCCCTGGAGCAAGGGTGCCGGCTTTCTCTGCCCCGCCACACACAGCACCGAGTAATTCACCAAGTCCCTAACAAAACAGCCGCCGTGTGGCCAGTTTAGCAAACAGCAGTTGCTCAATAATGAATCCTATTGTATAATACAGTCATCGTCATAAAGGACGTGCATGGGTCTCTTAAAGATCTACTTATTTATTTGAAAGGGAGAGAGAGAGAGAGAGAGAGAGAGAGAGAGAGGTCTTCCATCCACTGCTTCACTCCCCAAATGGCTGCAATGGCCGGAGCTGGGCCGATCCAAAGCCAGGAGCCAGGAGCTTCTTCCGATCTCCGGGAGGTGGCTTAACCCACTGGGCCATAGCGCCGGCCCCAGACTTTGTCAATATCTAGCAATACCTATTTTTGTCAATAACAAATCCGGGTAACCTGGCTGGGCAGTGTGGTGGTGCTGGGTGTGGAGCTGCCTCCTGTAACATCGGCACCCCGGATCGGAGTGCCAGCTCGGGTCTCAGCTGCTCTGCGGCTTCCAGACTGGCTCCCCGCCAGTGGCCCACGCACCTGGGCCCCTGACACCCGGCTGGGACACCCGGGTGGAGTTCCTGGCTCCTGGTGTTGGCCTGGGCCAGCGCTGACCGTGGTGACCATTTGGAGAGCGAGTCAGTGGATGGAAGATCTCTCTCCCTCTGTGTCACTTTCTCTTTCAAGTAAGTAAATAAATAAACACGTCTTTTTAGGAAAGAGCAACATTAGTAGCCAAACACCCTAAAGCATCTACATTTGACGTTTGCCCTTTGGCGAGCGCGGCCAGGTTCTGGCACTGAGTGGAAAACACGCAGGGATAACATTTGCCGTCTGGACGAGGGAATTGGAGAAACGTGACGACCACACAGGGCACCTGGGCCACAAACATCACCAGGACCCTGGGCTGGCGTGGGACGCACGGCGCCTGAATGGATGGGTGAACGACTGGCGGGCTGCACAGGTGGATATGGGGCGGGGTCCGGCCCTATAGGACCCCCGCCCGCCTGCATCGGGGTAAAGCGACCCAGGGCGGCTGTTCCTGGCGAAGCAGCCCCGCCCGCGGCCCCTCCCCGCCGTCGCCGCCTTTTGCGTCGGCCGACCGCGCCGCTCACCTGGGGGCCTCCCCTTTAAGGCGCGCTCACCTGGGCGCTCACCTGGGCGCGGGCGCTTCCGCAGGAAGGAGGAAGCCGCGCCGCCGTCGCCTCCCGGCGCTCGCTCCCCGCCTGCTGGCTCGGCCGCCCGCCCGCCCGCCACCATGTCCGCCTCGGCCGTGTTCATTCTCGACGTGAAGGGCAAGGTGAGGCCGGGCGCTCGGGCGGGCGACGGGCAGGGGCGGCCGCGGAGCGCGGAGCGCGGAGCGCGGCGTGGGAACTCCTCCGGCCCCCTCTCCGGCCCTGCAGCGCCCAGGGGTCGGGGGCCGCATCCCACCTCCGCCATGGGGTCCTCGCGCCCCCTCCACCCGGCCCCGCAGCCCCTGGGGGTCGGGGCTGCATCCCACCTCCGCCACGGGGTCCTCGCGCCCCCCTCCCTGGCCCTGCAGCCCCTGGGGGTCGGGGGTCACCACATCCCACCTCTGCGACGGGGTCCTCGCGCCCCCCCTCCCTGGCACTGCAGTCCCTAAGGGTCGGGGTCCCATCCCACCTCCGCCACGGGGTCCTCCTGCCCCCCCCCC